ACTATGCAATGAGTAAAGTTCATGTTTTCATTTGATTGGAATTTTTTAAATTTGATTCGATAGAATTCGTCACCCTTTCTAGTGTAACCTTTTCACAATCTCTTCTCTGCTTCCAGTAGATCAAAATTCCATGAAGTCACAGGGATGGAGAACCCTGACCAAACCAGTATTTGCTGTCTTTTCCATCTACTCATCCATCGATTAGTCACAGCGAAGGAAGTGCGAGTGGAAGTGAATAAGGTTTCGCACGTGCCAGAGCGGTTCTGCAAAGAACCGCTTTGTCGCGTCGTGGACTCTTGAGTAAGAGGGAATTTCGATTATCGGAATATTCAGAAAAGAAATACCCTCACAGTTGAGTAAGGATCTTCCTTTACTGTACTGCAATTGTAACTTTAAAGAATACATGTGGGGTGTTATTTTAAATATTATTTTTATTTCATTTCAATTTATTTATCATGAAAACTGTAAACACTGTGTGTGAGTGACGTACTGGTAAGATGTATACTTGTATATCTCTGCACGTTTTGTTGAGCTCCAGAATTACTGCCGCTGTCTTGTTGAAATAAATATAACATGTCGAAATACAAATTGAGCCACTAACGAGAGTGGTTGGCTGCATTTGAGACCTAGAAATTTCCTATTCCGAGTTATTGGAAACGTATTTCCACTGGCAAACCAGCTACAGAATTTATTTGATAATTTTGCTGACGAAATAACACTCCACCCGCATTAATCGACCCTCAATTGCAAAACCCAATTCAATTCAACTCAGATTAATTCAATGATTTTACGCGGCGAATCTAAGGCCACCAAGTCGTCTGACCACGCAAATTTCTCCATCCACCTTCCAGCCGAGAAAGTAATTATAACTCGGGTGACGAATGGGATATGAGGCTTCTTTTAGGCTTGAGGATATTTTACATGCAGTAAATCTACAACATGGGACAGCCAGCTTTACTTCCTCTACAGAGGAAAGGTACGAAGGATTTTTTCGACCTTAAAAATTCACGCCTTTGATCAGCTTCGCAGACGCGAACTTGGGTATAAAACACTCATCGTTACACCTCCAAAGCCGCAAAACTATTTATCATGGCTTGCTTGACGGTCGCCATCAGCCCCAACACCGACGCCAGCAGCCGCGCCTGTATTCCGCGCATACCTGCCTGGAAAAAGCGCGAGCTCGTACGGCGATGAATGCGGTGGCGGTGGCGGAAGCGGAGGAGACGGGGCGGCGGCAAGCGGGGCGAGCGAGGGCGGGGGAGGTGGCGCGGGGACCGCGTGGTCGGCGCGTGCGCGACGCGACACCGCAGCCGCGTGCCTCCGCTCTCCCCCATCCCCTCCGCTTCCACGCTCGCTTCCACCATCGATGCAATTACTATTCGCCGCCGCCGAAGTAGCTGTCTGCCAAGGGCGTCGAGAATCAACGCCGGACCCGAACCCTGTGTACAGGATGTCCCGAGATGAAACAATGTAACTTCGAAAATAAGCTCTAAGACAATTGAATGGATGAAAACCAGAACGTTGTATCATTTTATAAATTCTGAGAAAAACGTGTTTCTTTTAGGCTATATTTCAGTGGCAATGTGTTTTCGTGGTTTTAATGAACAATTGAAATGCCGTAGTTTTAATATTGAACCAAAGCACCACGACCTTACAGTAATATTGACTTTAATAAACAGATTTCTCAGAATTTATAAATTGTCACTTACACTAAAAAACTTAGTTTCAAAGTTCCTTTGCTTCCTCCCTTAGCTTCTTGTATATACGTGGGAACATGTTGAAAATTGTAACGAAGCCATTCTTGCGAATTGGCAATTTTTAACACAAGAACAAAACGCTCAGGTTTAAAATGTTCTTCTTGTTTATAAGCCTGATGTAGTTCCCAATCAGGTCTGAAACGTGGATTAGATTTATTTGTATTTTTATTCATATTCAATTACGAATAGTAAAAGTGTAGGGAAGGGATTCTGGAACTCAAGAATATGAGCATTAATGATACTTCTTCTCCATACGTCACATATAGTTTTTACTGTTTTCTGACGAAAATAAACAAGTCAAACGATATTGACAATAATATTATAATTTGATGTAATACAAAACAATTATATTGTAATAAAGCTTTACCAGCATTTCCTCTGGGGAACAATTCAACACACATAATTATCCAGTATGTGTAGCTGTCAGATAAATTTCATAGTTTGCAATACTGGGTCAACACAAACAATGAATTTACGAGATAAAAGTGTTAAAGTTTTCGCTGACAAATACCATAATTGCACACTCAATAATTGATGGATTTAGGAATAAACGTTACTAAAGACTTTATAGGTGTTCTGTTAATAATAACTGTCATACAACGTTACAAGGTGATGGTTATAACTCAAAACTTTTATTTTTCGAATTGTTCCAGAGTTCAGGCCAGTAACGATATAATAAGAGCAAGTTTTTGTTATTCACAGGAAACTATTGAGAGTTGTTTACTATGCAGCATCCCGTATCGGATATAAAAATGTAAGAAGCAAATTAACCTATAATGCTGGTTTAGTACCCGCCGCCTCGTAGTGAAAGAGTTCCAATTTAGATCAGTAGGTTACTATTATCACTTCAATGGATAAGGACTACAATTTTAAATATCATGACACGTACTTGAGTATTTTATTTTTAATGGCATTGTTTAAATGTGAAAAATAGTATTTTCTTTCTTTGAAATATAAAATAAAGACCAATACTAGGATTTGACGGAGAGCTTTGATGAAACATTGATTTTTGCGAAAACATTCTCAGAAACCTCTCTTTCTCCTTCCTGGTCCACCTCTTCTTCCAACACTGCAATCACCAACTGTTCCTCGGACCCTCCCCTTGTCACCCGGTCCTAAATGATGTAATGAAATATGTTTTGTATTATGAGCGGCGTTGGGGGAATAAAGCTACTTTATGGACGAAAAGGGTATATGTTTTCTGGGAAAGTGGACATAAACTTCAGGAACATAATAACACCCATTGAGAAAATTGCTGAGAATTACTCGGTTGTGAAGTATGAAATACCTCGTAATAACATTGCAGTACACAGTGCAGAAGTTCCTTTAGAAAATGGAATAGTGTTTGATGTATTTATTAAAATAGTTAGTTAATTTAGAATTTAAAAATATTAAGAGATGCTGATGTTGTAAGTCTGTGTAGCTAATTAAACAACCGCGATTTTGTAATCTGTGTCTCATTGTCATTTATTCCTTTCCAGGTCGAAATTAATTTAGGTTTTCTTATTTATCTTCACTTTCTCACTCAAATGATAGCATTTTGCAATGTAATTTCGCTTGATAATATTTAATAGATCCCTTGTTGTAATAAGAGCGAAAGGAAAATAATTCTGAAATGAAAGCAACCTCGTAATGTCGGAGCATTTCAGTATATCGTGTTTTAGCAAAAACTATATATCAACGAGTGTACTTTCTGTAAATTTCATCATTCAACCAGAATAGAAGCGTAATATTTAAAAAAAATTTAATAAGAATCTCCCCTCTGAAATGACCAACTGCTCTGTGCTTTTACTTTAGTAGCGTCTATGCTCGCATGAAATTCGAATAATAATACAAAAAAATAGAATTGCTATATATTTTTGCAACGTTACTGTTAGAGGAATATTAAGTATTTTTAACGTATTCTTAACGTCTGAGAATGGAATTTATAATTCTTGTAAGGTGAATTTCTAAAAATGCTGCAAATTAAATCACTTGCTCGATAGTATAAAAAATGTTTTGTAAATTGCTGGTCAAATGGTACGGTAATGGCACATTTGGATTTACATGTAAATACCGTTGCGCCGGCCTGCATAGCCGAGGTCACTAAGACCGAAGGGCTGTAGCTGCCTCGGTTCGAAGGGTCGTGAGTTCGAATCTCTGGCATGGACGTTTGTATGTGTTCGTGTTGTCCTTACGTGTTCTTCCTACAGATACATCTACAGTTAAAAATTAATCACAGTGGTCGCTGTATACCCAAGTTGCGTATCAGGAGAAGCTATCAAGAAAATTACATGTGATAGCGCCTATAATGGAACGTGTTGGAACAATCGGAGATACCATGTCGGATACGGAAACGCAGGAAGGGCGGAAAGGAGGGAACGCCCATGGAGACCATGCCCCCCGTTGAAAAAGTACAGAATATATATGCTTCTTCAAATATTTCATACGCTTTAAAAGAAGTGTGGTTTGTGTGTTTATTGAAATTTTGTTACCAACCGACATATTTCAAAAATAACGTGCGCTAGGAACGTCTCTCCGCAGTGATACCAGTGGGTTGTAAGAGTGCTAACAAGAGAAATTATGTTGGTAGCACGAACGGAAGCTTGTCACAAATGAAAACGTAAATTGCGTGCTCACCAAAATCAGAAAAGATGCTAGAAGTGTTGTGCCCTTCACTTGTTTCCCCGTGATATGGTTGCTGCGATCATAAATGCAATTTTTATTAAGAGCCCCTGATTCATCTCGGTGCGGAGAACCTTTCCCTCTCGCATTGTATTTTCAACGTTGGCACCGGGTTGGAATCCAAAGTGTTTCTGAGAGAAAAAAGTAGTTCTATAATAATACTAGTTTTATAGTTAAAGATAAATAAAAGTTACTTTAGAACTTCTATTTTCAAACAATTTACAAATTAAAATAAGCAAATTGAAAGTAATACATACGTTAAATAGCTATTTACGCAACGTATATTTATAGTATGTTAAAAAATTGTTCTTTTGAGGAATGAGAGTTAAATCAAGGAATTATTCACCCTCAAGACGGCATCTACAATAGTCTAAATTTGCGTAATCGTGTTCCACATGACATCGGCTGGTGTCTCAAAAGCGAGGTGCCTATCATTCATGCATTTTTTACTGGCGCCTGTTTTCCACGAGCTCATCGCATTTTGTTTGCCGTTTGAAATAGCCGCCAATTGTATTCCTACTCAATTGTAACTCCCGAGATAAGAAAGTGCAAAATCCTTCCGCGCAACGGGCAGTTTCGTGAAGCGGGCCCACCGACCTGTGGCAAAATTGTTAAGTGCAGTGAGTTAAGTGACGATGTGTGGCGGTCAATACTTTGAGTATCAACACTGTTATCGATTCCACAAAATGAGCAATATATGATTTGTATGATACTAGAACAAGTTTGAATTACTTCTAGAGCAACAGCTATGATTGTTTCCGTCACGTGGATCACCAATTTCAAACTGCTGAATGCAGTATCCATTCCCGATATAACACCAAGGTAAGAGCACGTAAATACTTTACCGTGACTTCGGCGGACATGTAGAATTTCATGCTAATGGAACAAATAATGAAGTTTCTTCCACTATGTAAATGATGCATATTTTCTTCACAAAATGTCTTATAATTTCTTAACTTTGTTTAACAAGATGGAGAAAGGAAAAATGAGTATCATTCAGTTATGTTTCTGATGTGTTTTTAAAATGTGTAATACGTAATTTGCTCTCTGTTTCTCTTCATGTGAAACTCATAATAATGAAGAAAATAATTCATGAAATGTGTCTTTGTAATCGTTTGTAAATGAACTGTACATTATGCACTCTGTGAAAGATTAATTCATTACCTGTTTATTTTTTCTTTTATAAACACATTATTACTGTAAAATGATTTATAGTTCAGTGATTTCAAGCAATTTGACTGTATATGCAAAAGCCTATGCAAGAGAAAAATTTTATCCATAGACTACAATTATTGATCGAATATATGTAAAAATACGCATAACAACTTATTTTTATATTATATTATATATTATATATTATATTTTATATTTCATATTATTTTATTGTTTATATAATGAATTACTTGTTCAACATTACCTCTCGTCCCAATTGTGTGATTCAAAGAAACAAACCTATTTGAGAGTTATTGCTAGGATAAAAGTCAGAGTCATTAACAATATCACCGTGATATTACTACAAAGTGGTTAATGCGTATTAATCATTGGATATTTTAAAGAAGCAGCTCATGTTCACTCGTGTAGCCATAAGTAATTTACTTTCCCTTCGAGAGGTCACGTCTCAATGTTAGCCTTCAGCAGTCTCGTGCTTTGATTTGTCGCATGAACAAATGGCCATGTCAATTCTCATTAGCTACGAATCGTGTGGACGATTGCTGCGCTTGTTTTTAGATGTAATACGCTCATAATATGAGTCATGCTAATATACGGAATGCACATAGAAGTCCATGCGTTTGGATTTAGATGCAAATCAGAAGGTTATTTCCACTTCCTTTCTGAGTAATCTAAAGTCGTTCAATTAATAGTCATATTAATGTTTGTGTTGGATGCTCTCAGAGAGGTTCTGCGTTATTCATAATCAGAGTGTGATGATTGTATTCAATAAAAATATTCTAGAAGCATTTCTGTGAAAGAGGCATCGTTCAACATTAAAATATCTGCTGTTCCTTATACTAATATTGACTAATGAAAAACGCATTAAATATGTTTATACTCCTGTCGAAGCTATATATTGTGTACACGTCAACACTAATTCCCGCAGATATTTCACGCGTAGTACTGTACCTACATTTAAAATTACTTCAGACTTTTTTCATATTTTTAAATAAAATTAAGTCTTAATGTGGAAGAAAATGATATTCTTATTCATTATCATAACGAATAGGCGCAGTTTCTTGAAGACATTGCAAAATATAACACAGCGACGTACCAACGCGAGTGGAATGACGTATTTATAATCTCGTACTTTGAAGGCGCAGGGACGCTTCGCTATGCGTCTCCAGTAACTCGGCGAGGTCACACCGAGCGCACCCGATTAACATGAATCGTCGTAGAGACTATCCAACGCATACTTTCCAAAACGTTCTATGCCAAAATACTTTCTTGCAAAACAGTTTTAGGTTGACAATTAGACGTAGCGTAACGCGTATGAAAGTTGGGTTACAAGGCCCCAGCCTTCGGACTACGCTATTAATATAAAACATCCTTCACTCAATTATGTGTTGCATAGACATGTAACGCATAGTTTCCCATTTTCATTCGAGATATGTAAACAGAATGACATTGTCATTGGAACTGTGTGAACAGAATGCCCTCCTTTCGCCATTCATGTTCCTTTCTCGTTCTCCGATCTCACGACTTTGGAATCGATTAGTTACGATAAGAGATAAGAACAACATTACATTGATTCCCAGAATTATTTATGTTTTCCCATTGCATTGAAAGTTATAAATTTAGAACATTTATATAAATTTAATAAAATGCCAATTTTGTCATGTAAGTCGTACAGAGGTCGATGGAGTGCTGTGAAGGTTTCCTCGTCTCGAAAAGAAAGTAAACATAATTTGATTCTTAATTTCGCCTTGTATTTTTTACCATTAGATATTTGCCCATTTGGACGCAGTCTTCTCGATATCGATAACGTAGTTCCAATTACTAGCGCACTTTTAGGCCACTTTTTTCTTTTGATGGTGTATATTCCAAGGTCCGACATGTGTGAGGGAATATGAGGGTAGTCATAATTATTACATGGAAATTTGATACACGAAGAATCCAACTATAAAAAAGAAATCAAATGAAAATGAATTCGCGAAGAGAAAGCATAATTGTAAGAGTGATGACATACATTTTTACGAAATTTCCAAAATATTTGTCACATTCAACGCACAGTGATTAAATTTGTATGTCTAATTCTAAATCAAGGAAACTAGCAGTGAACTATTTGCAGTGCTCGGGGTATCATGTTTCTGCATATTACAACCTTAACTTCAAAAAAACCTTCATCTCAACAGAAATAAATTCTATTACAACCTCAACATCACAGCAAACTTAATAGCAACCACCTCAATCACCACCACTACCACTTCGACAACCACAACGTCAATATCATCCTCAACAATAACAACCGGAACAATAACAATGAGAACAACCCTTTATAAAGACACCATCGTCACGACGACAACACCCTCGACGACACCCTCGACGACACCCTCGACGACACCCTCGACGACACCCTCGACGACACCCTCGAAAACAACCGTACTATTAATAACCACAACAACCTTAACCACGACGACACTAACGTCAACAACAACAGCCACAAACTTATCAACAGCAATCAAATATATCAAAAACAATAAAATATTTCGACAATGGCATTCCTAGTGGCGTCCTCTTTACCCGCTCCGACAGCACCGCCGTTAGCGCCGGCATCGTGAGGTCTCTGCGAGCGAGCGTCGCAAGGGGTTGCAGCGCGAGGGCTGTGAGCCGCAAGCCATGGCCGCGCATTGTGGCGTTGCACGTGTACCTGGTGCCGAGGCGCCGTCCGAGCCCCTGCAATCACTCCACTCAATTTTATGAGCGTCTCCGCCGCGGCGGGGCATTGTTCAGCGCGGACGGCGGCGGCGGCGGCGGTTGTCTCGTTGGCGGCGCCGCGCGCATGCTAATTGGCACGATGCACTGGGGTGTGAGATTAATACATACACGGCAGAAAATACAAATTGAATGTTTGGGATTGGGGCGGTCCGTGGTGTAGGGGTAGAAACTATGGTCTTCCAACCCTGGCATCGCTATCAAATCCTAATTATTCCGCTCGGTTTGTTCTTCAAACTGTAGTTTCGATTTTGTGGAGATCGTCTTACGAGTTAGTCAACACACTCCTGTTTCACGTATTACGTTTACATCATCATTCATATCTTAATTATGAATGAATCCATCTGGGTACTGGAAGACGATAATGATGCTGCATTTACAATTCCATTCCAGAAAAAAAAATTAAAAAATTGTTTTCATTCTTTGCAAAATATTTAAGCTGAAATTATTATCAGTTGAGTGTAAGTACAATTATTCCATTAGGTAAAGTTTGCATTTTGTTTGCGGTACCTGGGTGTTAAGAAATTTCATAAATCCACAAAACACGATGCGGCGTATTTTTGTCATTCTATTGAAAATTATGTATGTTCGAAAAATAGTATTTGACATCAATAATAAATGCTGAATCCGCTAACGATATTTTACTATATTAATGTGAAGTACATGATAAGGCAGATATCTAACATGAAATGAAATAAATAAAATCATAGTTATGCGACGACGCGAATAATTCGTGCCCCATTGCTTTGAACTTTAAGATGCATAGTACAAGACTAGAATACTCAATATGCAAATGTGGTGCGGAAAACGTAGGCATCGCCTCATTTTATTCAAAATTTTTCTTTTTATCGGAGTTAAAATATATTCAGTGTTGTTTATTAAGTATGTGTTTAGCTATTGATGAACATGCATACATATTAATTGTAGTTGAATATTGATATTTTTTGCTTACATTTCGCGTAGTGTACATTTTCTTTTTCACGACCCTTTAGAAAATTAACTCCGGATTATCGGTTTTCGTCAGTGCTCTTGGACGCATTACCTCGGGTAATTGAGAGATTACTGTTCTTCAGGTTGAACCACGTCTTATTATACAAGCTGCGCAAATTATAACGAATATTTGTTTATAATATCGGTGATCATATAGTGTGTGCAAATGAGATTCAAACATTTTATCCGTTTTGACCAACCACCTTTCACCGTCACACTGTTATCACTTTTCTTCTTTGAATTTCGTTTTATCGTGCCCTTTTTTAAGTTCAACACAGTTAACACGGAGATTTGGTGAGGATTAAAAGGTGGCGTCGATATTAATATTGATTTTTAAACTTTTGCCAAGATGAATTTCTATTTATCCTTTCTTTCCTTCGTGAAGCAGTCCTTTCAAATACCCCTCGTTCCTAGAAAATTGTAGATAATTACGTGTTTTCTGAATGAAATCTGCCGAGAGGCTCAGTGACAAAATCCGTGTCTGCTGAAGGGGCTCTGACCAGGAGGTCCTAGGATTCGAGTCCGGACGATGGCGGCGTTTCGACGTTTGCTGCATAGCGGTAGCTCGGTCCAATACACCTGTATGAGAAGAATTCTAGCGGTTGGTTTCTCTGATCGGTAGATTTCCATATTTTTTTATCAATACCTGGTGAATGGCGGACCAGTACACTAACAAACACGCCGCGGACAACGCGCGATTTTTCCTTCTTTATCCTTGTGATTTCTCACTTAAAACTCACACTTTCCCTTATGCCGTGAGACCAGTCGGTGCTTAAAACTTGACTCGGCTGACCGAGCAGTGATTCTCCGGGGAGATACCTGGAAAGGGAAACTTCACAAGCCAACGTGCTGTTCAGCTGGAGAGCAGTGATCATCCGAGGAGATAACTGTAGGGAGAAACTTCG